GGCATAGGGGCAGGGCGACCAATGAGCTCTGTATACTGCTCCACCACCAACTCCGGAGTCGGCCCAGAAAAGAAATACAAATCCACAATTCCACCAATGGCCTTATAAGTATTTCTATCACCGCCGTATGTTATGTCCATGCCATTGCTATTCAGCAGCAACACTCCATGAGATGTTCCAGCGCCGTTGGCCTTACCATCTGGAGAAGCTGACCTGACGTCCAGGTAGAAGGGGTGGGACCCGTAGAGGTTGATGTCAGCATTGGCGCTGGCAATGTCAGCGTTCCAGAGTGTCAAGGTCTGGTTGGGGGTGAGCTTGAAGGAGGACTTGGTGTGCTCGCCGAGGCCGAAAAGGGAGGACCTGGCTTTTGGGAGGGAGGAGGAGAGCTGGATGTATTGGTTCTTGAAGACCAAGAAGGTGTCGGGGTTTGATGGGTTCGGGGAGGCGTCGAAAATGACGTCGTTGGAGGATTGGCGGGTGACGGTGAAGCCGAATGGGGTGGTGTTGTGGAGAGTGAAGACAAGGTCGTTGGAGATGCTGTTAGGCTTTAATCTCTGTATCTATCTTCGCAATTGTTGTTTTAGTTCTTCGTTTTGATCATTTGGTACAATGAAATTCTCATTTTTTGTTGGGTCATATATTATATTGCTGTTCGTATGAAAGAGATAGAGCATATTATTGTTTCTTTAGCAGTAATTATGCTTAAGAACAAAATAAAAATCATAGGTTTCTTTCAGTCCGATTTAAATCAGTCAGTTGTGGATTCTGGAACAATATGATTTCAGGGTTCTATAAATAAGAATAGCTGTTTGCACAGATGTGAAAGAAGAGTGACTTCCAGCATTTTAACTGTTTGAAGTTTTCTATTATTGCTTAAGTTGTTGTCATAAGACCAGGGCATGGCATTTGTCCAAATGCCAGAAGTATGTGAACTTTGAGTTCATATCATTTGTTGTGGTGGAAATTCCTGTAATAGAATGGATAAATGCCAGAAGTATGTAAACTTTTTTTGTCAAAACCCCTGCTCTTAAGAATTAGGTTGCATTTCTACTCTTATTAGAATGGAGGTTTGAGTTTCATTCAAGGGAAGGGCAAGGTTTCATGTGTCACATTACCTACAATTTAGGCTCATCCCCTTGATTATGTTGCAAATGGAGCAATTTTGTGCTATGTTTATGAAGAAGTAGTTTGTAGGCATAATTTATTTTTCCATGATCTGTGTCTTATTTGTAGAGTAGTTCTTTTATCATAGAGTCCTGCTACAGGGGACTAATTCCAGGCCACTGTCGAAAAGAGTGTTGAGATACTGAGAAAATTGGGAAAGAGTGAATTGATTGAATGGTAATGCGATGCAGGAATATCTCTATTAGACACACACTTGCACACGGACATAAGTTGATGCTTCTGATAGTGTATTAGGCTTCATATGAATTAGTTTATGATGAGAACCAGAATTGTTGCAGAGAGATAGAATTGCAAGACGGAATATTTGTTCGTTGGACTTTATGAGGACTCGGAGCACAGATACTGTACTTGGGAAAACAAAAAAGAAGTTATCTGTTCCAAACCTTTCATCTATGGCCCTGTTGTTGTGCGCAATCCAATAACCGGTGAGTTTATACACCTTCCTGAAGTTTGTAAGATTGAGTATCTCTAGTGAAGAGTTTTTTCATAAATATACATCAATTTTTATATGGTTAATCATGTATGCTTGGATGCTGTCTAGAACATATATGAATTTATATAGGATACGTAAGCTTTTTCATGTTAATGATATTTATGCAGTAGTGAAGCAATTGATGGTGCTTTGGTATTGTGGTTAAGGTTGGATGGTCATTGTTCATATTTTCCGTTTCAAGTGGTGATTAGGGAAAGGGTAATTCTTTGAGAGGGATTACTTACTCTGCACTGTTGTTCGTATCAAAGAAATATGGCATATCATTGTTTCTTTAGCAGTAAATATGTATTTAAAAAAATTATAAAAAAATCATATGCTTCTTTCAGATGTATTTTGTTGATTTCTGTGTTTGATATGGTGGTTCTAAATAATTGGCCCTGGACATTGAGTTAATTGGTGTAGAACTAGTTTTTTGTCCTTTCACTTAGCTGTTTGAACTGATGTGAAAGAAGAGTCACTTCCAACATTTTAACTGTTTGAAGTTTTCTGTTATTGCTTAAGTGGCTGTTATAAGACTAGGGCATGGCAATCGTCAAAAGAACGAGAAAATTAACAGGAAACAAAAAACATCTCAACAACTGTGTCCACAAAACATATAACAGTGTATTTCAATTGTTGTGATGGAAATTCCTGTAATGTATTTTAAATTGTACTTATGGAGAAATGCCAGAACTATGCAACATTTTTCCTCAAATCTTAACAATTAAGTTGTACTTCTGTCCTTATTAGAATGGAAGTTTTAGTTTCATTCAAGGACAGGGCAGGGTTACCTTGATGTGCAGTCCAAACATTAGATCAAACCAGGAATGGGGAGAGAAAGTAATTCACCGCTTCAAACTTCCTTAATAAGGAGGTTGTGTCATGTGGTTCATACTATTGGTTATTACTGATGTTTTTTTTGCCTTTAGAAATTCCTCTAAGTTCATATGAAGTTGATGTGTTCATTGGAAGGTTTTATACATGACATCACCTACAATTTAGGCTCATCCCCTTGATTATGTGGCAAATGGAGCTGCTGCAACCACATCATTTTGAACATTCTTGTGCTATGTTTTTGGTAGAAGTAGTTTGTAAGCATACTTTATTGTTCCATGATCTGTTTCTTATTTGGATGCTAGTTCTTTTATCGTAAAGTCACTGCTACAGGTGAGTAATTCTAGGCCATTGGCGAAAAGGGTGTTGAGATAATGAGAAAATTGAGAAAGAGTGAATTGGCTGAATGGTAATGCGATTGCTCGTCTGCATAATTTGTTTGCACTGTTATCAGTCAGATGCAGGAATCTCTCTATTAGACACACACTTGCACACAGACATAAGTTGATGTTTCTGATAGTGTATTAGGCTTCATATTCATTAGTTTATGATGGGGAACCAGAATCGGTGTAAGTACTCTCTCTTTTCCTAATCCAGTAGGTCATTCCATGTAATTAGCTATTACTGCCTCTCTTTTCCAGTAAATTGAGCGTGCAAGCATATGATTTTGAACATTTGCTTGTTACTGATGTTCTTTTTTATTTCTTCTTATATGTAAGTAGTTCCAGTGTACAATTTATTGTGCACTGTTTCTCCGTCTTCTTAAATGGAAAAGAAGAAGACACACTTGCACACAACTTTACACCAGTGCACAATCACCTCAACTATTTTCAACAACATTTTCGAACATTGGAATTCGAAATAACTCAATTTCACTCCCCTGATAAATTGATTTTTATTTTCCCTGAATAAGAATGGACATGAAAAATTCCCGACAAATCCCTTTCGCGAGGGAAATGCAAGATTAGCCATGGAAGGTGATTTTAGCACTCTAAAACCACCCTTAAATTTCCTCGTGCACTCATTTGTGTTTGTAAATCAAATTTAAATTGTGCATTTTAATCGTTTCTTTGTTTCCATCAGGGTTTCTCTTAGATTTTGAAACCTAAAACAGAACAGGGAAAAAGCCATCGCAATTGTCATGGCAAGCCATGGTCAATTCCAGTCTCATGAAGCGGATAGCTTTCTTCATTCAAATAGTTTTTGATGAGAAATCAATGAAGCCCAAGTTTAAGAACATAAAAGGAACACACACACACACACAATTATATTATCTCAATTAATTCTTCTTGATAATCTGTCTAATGACAGAATTATATTATCACAATTTTGAAACGTACAAGTGTTCAAATTGAAAATACCGTTATTACCATGCAATTTAGTTAAAAATTCAAGATAATAAATTGAAATTAACTCAATTTTTTATTTATTTACTGGTTAGAAAGTAAAGCTGGATTAACAATTTTTAGATAAAATGGATAAAGATAAGGTTTTAAGTTAATAAAGATGGTCAATGTCACTGATTTTCAGTCCATTAGGCAAAGCTGAAAAAGAGAAAAAAACGACTTAAAGGGAGTAGCGACAAAAAAAAAAAAACTTTATTTCTAAAATGATTTAAATTACAAATAAAATAGAAAGAAAAATGTATTGTATTGGTGCTATAAGTTTACAGCCTGTAATACTTACTGATCAGAGTAGCTTCAGATTTACGAAGCCATTTCAAATTTGGGCATCCCTAAACCCTAAATCCTAAACGGTCAATAGGACTTGGTGCAACCATGCACCAGGTCCACTGTAGAATTTTCGTAGGTTTTGACGAGTTGGGAATTTTCTTTCAACTTACTGAGCAAGTTTTCATGTTATCCCATTCAATGATGTGAATTTACCCATGAAATTTTAGTGAAATCTAATGTTCAATAGGACTGAAAATCAGGAAGTGGTAGGAGATAGAAATGGACATTGCTAAATTGGAGTCCTGGTCATTCCTATGCCCACATTACCTATTGATTTCGGATCGACACATTCCTAGGTTTATTGGATAGTGGGCATAGGTATAGTTCTGGATGTGGTCCAATGTTCGATAGGGTTTCTGGTTTTTGGGTGGAGTTATGAGCTTCTGGGTATTTGGGTTGTCAGATTTTGGGGTTTGTAGTCATAATTCAAAAAACAATTAAATGCCAGAAGGAAGGAAGAAGAAAAGGTGCGAACAATTAAATGCCAGAAGGAAGGTAGAAGAAAAGGTGCGAGTGGCAAAGGAGAAATTGCAGCATACCCGATTCTAGTGTGAGCTTGCTTTTTCTCACCAGCCGTTGAGATCACTTAAATGGCTGAGATGGAGCCGCAAATAGGGTTCGCAAAATGGAGTTCCCGCCTGAGCCTATCGGTACGTTTTAAACAATGGAAAGTTTCTCCTTTTTAAAGGACTAAAACAGACTTACCAGTCATCACTTGTTTCCCTCTCTCCAGGGGCAGAAAACCTAATCCTCCATTTTCCCGAAAATCATAATCCCAGAATCCAAACAACCCAGAACCTCATGGGCAAGAAAAGAAACAAGAAGACCCTCGTCTGGAGGCCCAAACCCAAATCCAGAACCCCCCAGAACGAAATGCGAAACTGGCTGGACCTTCCACGGGACATCACCATTTCCATACTGTCACGACTCAGAGCGGTCGAGATTCTGGAGAGCGCGCAGAAGGTGTGCATGGCTTGGCGCAACTTCTGCAAGGACCCTCTCATGTGGCGCGCCATCGATATGGCCAACGATGGCGATTACGACGACATGTTCTACGACTTGGATGAGATGTGCCGCCACGCAGTGGATCGTAGCTGTAGTCATCTGGTTGATATCAATATCGAGCACTTCGGCAGCAATGATCTCCTTGAGTATATCACTGACAGGTATTTGATTTTTTTGATTTTTTGCTACAAATTCCTTTATTTGTTTTGGTATGAAGATTTTATTAATTTGGTTAACTGGGCTCAATAAATTCCCTGACTTGAATTTTGGTGATAGTTATATTCAATTTGAAATTTTATATAGCACATGAACAGAGGAACCCATGTACATTTATTTTGGAATTTCCTTCCAAATTCGAATTATATTATGTTGTAGAATTTGAATTTGTTTCTGTGTGTGTAATGGATGGCTGAATATTCGTCTCGAAAATTTGTCAATAGTTGCGGTGGTATCAGACGTCTCCGGCTAGTGTCTTGCGATATGATATTTGATGAGGGGTTGGGTAAAGTGGCTTCAAAGCTTACTATGCTAGAGGAGCTTGAGATCTCTTTATGCAATTTCTCATGCACATCTCTACAAGTAGTGGGGCGCTCTTGCCCTCTTTTGAAGTCATTCAAATTCAACAGGTCCAATTTATCGGATGATGCGATCGGTGTGTTTAATTACTATGATGAGAATCCTTTAAGGAAAGATGACGAAGCATTTGCTATAGCAGGAACGATGAATGGTTTACACCACCTTCAACTTTTCGCAAATCGGCTCACTAATGATGGCTTGATGAAGATTCTTGATTGCTGTCCTCATCTTGAGTCACTTGATCTGCGCCATTGTTTCAATCTTAATCTGAAGGGAGCTTTGGGAAAAAGATGTGCAGAACGAATTAAACAATTGCGGCTTCCCAATGATTCCATTCAGGACTATGAATTTCGTGTTGCAGCCTCTGACTGTGATGATTATGGATTTTACGATGATCCTGAGGAAGACAATGGATTTTATTATGATCCTGCGGAGTTTGACTGTGATGAGTATCGGTGTTATGCTAGAGATTTTTATGGGTACGACTCGGATGATAGTGATTTCTATGATGATTTCACCAAACTTGGAGTGTCTGACTTCCTTTTTTGAATTGGAGACCGTCTCGCAGCTGAAATCTGGGATACAGAGAGAGGTATTGAATTTGGAGTGTCTCTACGAAAGCAAGCCGTATTTCTGGGTTGGTAGCAACATTGACAACTTTATTGCCCTGTTTTGGGTTAGGGAAAGAGTGGATTATTTTCTGCAAGGGCATTTAGCTACTTTGCTCCTTAGGGTAGAGAGCTGATTTTTTTTGTATTTGTCCTTGTATTTGTACAAGTTACTGTTTTATCAGAACAATGTAAGTTTTTTATTTTGATCATGGAAGGTTGGTTGATTTTGAATTTGATTATATGCATTTAGGTTTAAGGAGCTTCTTGTTATTATGACCTTAACGGTTAAGTTTTGAAATGAAGGGAAGTGGTAAAGCGAGAAATTTTTAGAGATTTTTAGAGATTTCAGAGGGGAGCATTCTTGATGCGATGAAGAGGGGAGCAGGAGGCGTGTTGTCCTTGTCCCCCACAAGAAAATCACAAACAAAAACCAGAGGGGAGCATTCTTGATGCGATGAAGAGCCCACATCGAAAGCTCCTCCAACTGGCAGAGCATTGATTTGAACAAAATAAATTACCAACTTTGAACAAAAAATCATTCAAAACACTTTCCTTACAGTAATTAATAAATAAACAAAAAGCATGGGTGCGGGCAGGAGGCGTGTTGTCCCCCACAATCACACTTCACCGAAAGAAAACCATAAACAAACACAAAGGGGAGCAATCTTGATGAGGTGAAGAGCCCACATCGGTGCGGTTGTCAAACTACCACTTTCAGTTGATGGTAGGGGTTCGAAACCCTAAACTCGTTGAAAGTAGCCAAGACAAGCCGAATCCCGAGCCCGAGCGGGGATTAATCCCACCATTGAGTATGATTAGTTGTATTATTATGCTTGGCTCTGGGGATTTGAAGTTTCAATTTTTTTTTTTCCGTTGTTGAAGAGAATGGGGAGCAAAATGATAAGGATAATGCTCGACGGTCTGAGATTCTGCACAAATGAGTGAACTAGTGGGTTACTTGAGTAGAGTTGCAAAATTTGTTGAGGAATGCTATTCACAATCGCTCTAAAGCGATTCTCATGATACTTGCTAGACATGTGTACACGCGTTCCCAATGTATTCTCCTTTTAATTTTTTTATTCTTCTCTCTTTCTTTCTCTTGGTTGCCTCGCGCTCTCTCTTCTCTCTCTTCTTCTGCTCTCCGTCTCTCTCTGTCTTTCTTTTTTTAATTTTCTTCCTCTTTCCTCCTCTACTTCTGTCTATATCTCTCTTCCTCTCTTCTCTCCTCCTCCTGCTTCTTGAGAATCGCTTTAGAGCGATTGTGAATAGCATTCCTCTTTGTTTTATCTAGTTTTAGAATTTTGGACAAGTAAGTGGATTGATTTAAGGCGTTCTAAAAGTTTGATATATCAAGTATTTAAAAATTAATATGCCGTCCTGTTTCCTTTAATCCTGCATCATCTGGGGTTTAGATTGCTGAGAAAACAGTTCTTGTTGGCCTCGTTCGCGTTGGAGCCTTGAGGTTACAGCCAAATAAAGTTGTCATCTGGAAAAGTGGAGAATGTAGGTAGGTGCACAAGCACAACACACAAAGAGACTTGTTTCATCTTCTAGTAGCAGGGATTGGACATAAAAGTTTTGTCTTGGGGATTGACGTAGATACAATAGAACATTTTCACTAATCATATTTGTTGTCGAGGGTTGTTTTGAAAGTTCTGATGCTGGGAAATACTTGGCCTCTGGTGGTACCATGAAAGCTCAACAACTCTTAGATATGTTCCATGGACGATGATGTATTTTACATCATGAAGACGCTCTAGGTCTGGACTCTCGTCACGTTCTTGTAATGCCTGCCTTTCAAGCCCCTAACTTCGTTCTTGGTTTAGCTGAATTAATGGCCATGGGTGTGACAATTATGGTGATGAGATTATAACTCCCTGAGCCCTTTCCAAAGTGCCATCATGTAATTGTTGACGTGAGTCTCCTAATTAATTAAGGAATTTACTTTCCCATTCCATTTAGTTGACAAATCTGTGTATAATTAGGAGATACTTTCCTAATTCCTGATTGAATCTCTTTCCTTGTAAAGCACTATGTAAACTCATATATATACCTCCTTATGGAGAAGAATAAATCATCTGAACATATTCAAACCCGTATTCATATTTTAGCATGGTATCAGAGCAATCAATCCTAGGTTGTCTCTAAATCCTCGTATCGAATTCCTTGAAACACGAACCCGTATCCTCGTATCCTGAATCCCGAAACCCTAAACACAACCCCGAAACCCTAAACACGAATCCGAAACCCTAAACACAAACCCGAAACCCTAAATAGTTTTTTCCCTCGTATTCTTCAATCCTTCTGTTGCCATGGATATTGTTTCCAAAACCACCGACTCCACTTCCTCATCCCCCCAAATTGTTACTATTCAGAGTGACAATGCTTCGTTTCCTACCGGCATCACCTTGACAGAGACCAATTATGCCTTATGGTCTCAGGTCATGGAGTTACGTATTGCTAGCCGCGAAAAATTGGGGTACCTCACCGGCGACACTCCGCAGCCCTCTAAGCTCTCCTCCACTTACAACCAATGGTGTACGGAGAACTTTCAGGTCAAAGGGTGGCTCATCGACTCCATGTCTCCAGACTTGGTGGGTCGGTTCATCCGTTTTAGTACCGCCAAAGAAATCTGGGATGCCATGAAGAAAACCTACTTTGATGGGGGGGATGAAACTTTCCTGTTTGATCTCAACAAACGGGCGTTCACCATTAAACAGAATGGTGCTCCTGTCCACAAATACTACAGCCAGCTGCAGACTATCTTTCAGGAGATTGATCATCGCACTCCGAATCGCATGCACTGTGACGCCGACGTCGCTGAGTGCCAGACTGAACTGGATAGTCTTCGTGTTCACATTTTCCTTGCCGGGCTCGATCCTCAGTTTGATCAAGTCCGGGGGAAGATCCTGCGCAAAGACCCAAAATTAGACCTTGACCAAACTTTTGCATATGTACGTCGCGAAGCTCAACAACGACTGACCATGGCCAGTACTCCAGACACTGCGATTCTGGCCACTGAACTTCTAAGGGGCCCTTCGCCCTCTACCGGTGGTGCTTCTCAGACTCAGACCACAAGCACTCGTCCGGAGACCAAATGCACTCATTGTGGTGGGAGCAAACATACTCGTGCTCGCTGTTATGAACTAATTGGGTACCTGGATTGGTGGGACCACTCCAAAGCTCCTCGCAGGAATAAGAGCAACTCCCTCCACACATCTTCCGTCACGGATCCTGTAAGTCCTGCTGCTCCACCTGCACCGGCTCCTGCCTCTGCCTCTGTAGCCACATCAGGTACCCAAGGTTATGTTTTGCATAGTTCCTGAAAGAAACACACATGGGTCATTGACACCGGAGCCACTGATCACATGACCTTTGATCTGAGACAAATTATCTCTCATACACCGCATTCTCAATCGGTGGTGTCTAATGCCAATGGTACCCCCTCCCCAGTGATTGGGGAGGGTTCCCTCTCTCTCTCTGACTCCCTCACTTTGGATTCTGTGTTGATTGTTCCATCCTTACATCATAATCTCTTGTCTGTTGCCCAAATTACTACGGCTTTGAATTGCACTGTAACCTTTTGGCCTACTCATTATGTTTTTCAGGACATTCTCAGCAGCAAGACGATTGGTTGTGATACTAGGAGGGGTAAACTCTATTATTTGGACCTGGCATCTGACAGTGAAGCCAGCCTCAGTCAAGCTTACAAAATTGGGGGGACGAGTGTTGAGAAGCAAACTTCCGAAGTATGCTTATGGCATCGCCGTCTTGGACATGCTTCGTTTGGATATTTACAGAAGCTATTTCCTTCATTATTTTCAAATTTAGAGAGTTCTAGTTTTAAGTGTGACATTTGTGAACTGGCCAAGAGCCATCGTGTTCCCTTTCCCTTAAGTTCCAATAAAAGTTTAATTCATTTTTCCCTTGTTCATTCTGATGTTTGGGGCCATTCTAAAATTACCACTCCCGGGGGAGCTAGATGGTTTGTCACGTTCATTGATGATTGCACACGCATGACCTGGGTTTCCCTTCTCAAAACTAAAGGGGAAGTCAGTTCCAAGTTTCAACAGTTTTATCACATGGTGGAGACACAATTTCATACCCAAATTCAGGTTATTCGATCTGACAATGGTGGAGAATTTCTCAACCATGATCTTAATGAGTTCTTCCAAGATCACGGTATCATCCATCAACGCTCATGCCCTTCCACTCCTCAACAGAATGGTGTGGCTGAACGAAAGAATAGACACTTACTGGAAGTAGTTCGTGCATCCCTCTTTGGTGCAAATATGCCTCGGTCTTTTTGGGGCGAGGCTGTACTCTCTGCGGCTTATCTTATCAATCAGATTCCCTCTAGTATCCTCCAATTCCGAACCCCCCTTCAAACACTCCAACACCATAGCCAAATACCTCCCACCCAAAACCTAGAACCCCGCATATTTGGTTGTGTGGTCTTTGTCCACTTACATGATCACCAACGCAGCAAATTAGATCCCCGTGCCGACAAGTGTGTGTTCATTGGTTATGCACCTCATCAGAAAGGTTACCGGTGTCATCATCCTCCAAGTCAGAAAGTGTATACTTCTATGGATGTTGCGTTCCGGGAACAAGAGAGCTATTTTTCGGATGCACAGGAGGACCCTTCTCAAATTTCTGAATTTTTTCCTTCAGCAGTTTTTCCAGATTCGTTCCAGACTCAGAACGACCGGTCGCAGACCTCTAGCGACTGGTCGCCTGATGAAAACGACCGGTCGCCAGATGAAAACGACCGGTCGCCAGATGCAAATGACCGGTCGCAAACGACTCTGCCTGAAAGCGACCGGTCGCATGTCTCTAACGACTGGTCTCCACGGACGCCAACGACTCTGCCTGAAAGCGACCGTTCGCATGCCTTTCACGACCAATCGCCACGTACATCGCAACGCACGTCCACGACTCTGCCTGCAAGCGACCGGTCGCCTGACCCTAACGACCGGTCTCTTCCCCCAATTTTTTCTGAAATTGTTCCGCTTCAGTCCGATCCCAGCCATCACACTCAGGAGGAGAGAATTGAAGAGTTTGTGCCTGCTCCAGAGAATTCTTCAGCTCCAGTACCACACCAATCACCTGCTGAGGAATTCATTCAGGTAACTTCTCTACCTGAAACTGATAACATTAATGAAATAACTGATTGCATTTCAGAAGGCGCAGAGCCTACATATCAGATTCCAAAAAGGAAGAATCGTGGTAAACCCCTAGTTCACTACGAAGCATATCTTAATGCAAAGGGGAAATATCCCGTCAACAATTATGTATCCCTCACCAAATTATCTAAGTCACCGGTACACTTTGTGAATAAGTTAGCCGACATACCTATTCCCAATAGTGTAACTGAAGCACTAGAAGACCCAAAATGGAAAGAAGCCATGAATGAAGAAATGCGAGCTCTCCATAAGAATGGCACATGGGAACTCGTGCCATTACCTCATGTAGGCGTGGGCACAGTCCAGTTTGGACCGCTTTTTGTTAAAATATGGAACCTGAATCGAAAATACAAACCGGTTCAGTTTGGACCGATTTGGTTTAAAATCCATATCAAAATCCGAACCAACCCGGACCTACCGGTTTCCGGTTCGGTTTCCGGTTCTCACGGTTTGGGCTTGCTGTAAGCCCAATTTGATTTTTTTGTGTATTTAAGCTTCAAGACAATCTGATTTTTAAAATTTTTGGGCCTTAAACATCACAATTGGCCCAATTCCCATATTGAAACAACCACCATTCTTTGACAAAAATAATAAAACAATCCAATATAAAATTTAAAATTACAACCAACAAGAAAATACACATAATAAAACAAATTATATTACAATCAAATTTAAAATTATAACTCCATTCTTTTGTTCTTTTGTTGCCGCATCTCAGAAAACCGAGTACACCAAGTGAACCTAGCAGATCCATGTATTGCCATCAATAACCTGAATTTGTAGAAAATAAAAACAACACTCTAGAAACCTAGAAGTGAAAATGGATCAAGAAATGCAACAGCAAAAGAAAAATATCAGAATAATAGACCATTTTCATGATCAAAGACAACCAAATGAGTTACCTGCTTGCGCATTTTGATAACATACACTGCTTCTCTCATGTCTCTAACAACAAGGTCCACTCCTCTTTGGCTACCAAACCACAACCTCAAGACAATGTGCTTGAGCACAACTCTCAGTACAAAAGGTATCCACTAAATTACTTTAACAAGTATTTAACAAAGTGATAAAGAAACAAAAGGATGACAAGCTCCTTTATAAATTGGAAAAAGGTAATCACCTTATCAAGAGTAACAGCCAAATTCTGAAGCCTTTGGTTGTAAACACCCTCAGCCTGTCACGCAAAAAGAAATAATAAGCAAGGGAGCACCCAGGCAGGCATGATAACACCTACACACACACACACAGAGAAACAGAGATTAGTCAACAACACTCACCTGAACCTCAGCATCGCTCTTCTCAACCTCAAGATAAATATCTGAAAAATACTTCCTTTTTTCTTCCAAATTATGCTTTAAAATCTCCTCAGGAAGCTTTGTTCTTTCAAAATTTATAAACCTCACCTTCAACCAAAATGAAAGTGACAGGAGAGTAAATGATAGTTGATTTCAAAAATTACCAAAAATGAAAAATTGAGGAAGCAGGAAGGTCACATACCAAGCGAGCCGAATATGCAATCACCCAATCTGGCAGTCCTTCAGCACCTGGTGAATGCACAACACTCCAGTTAATAAAAAATAAAATGACTTTAAAAGATAAAAGAGAAGAATACCAACAACACTTCAATGGCTCCCCTCAAGAGGAACCTGAGCCTCTAAGACTTGAGTACAACAATTATTTCCTACTACCTTTTGAAAAGTTCCTTTGCCTGTCAAATTCAAGTAGCTTCCCCGGCAAACTTGGCTGCCACACAAACAAACTGATGCTTCGTATTCTTCCTTACTCTGTCAAAAAATAGATTGGCACCAATTGTTACACACTTAGTCATGTAGATTGCAATCTAGTGTAAATGAGACCCATAGGCAAAAGAGGCATACCTCTGTAACAGACCTCTGTAACAGAATTGTAGTCGAATGTGATCTCCTCCCCATATTGAATTCCTCGTACAGTGTAGATTCCAATCTGGTAACGACCATCTACAGCGGTAACGACCACCAACAAAAACAGAAAAACAGAAAAACAGAAAATCAAAAAACAAAAATAAAAAATAAATCTGCAAAGGAGAAGACATAAATCTGCAAACAACAATCGGTAACTCCTCCAGCATTGATTTTTCGCAAGGAAGGAGCGGGTAAACAGATGCACACACAATCAAAACCTAAATACCCAAACAGATGCAAAACCCTAGTAACAGAATCGAAGATGAGCTGAAAGAGAGAGAGGGAGATGAACAGTACCTGAGAGAGAGACAGATACAGAGAGCTATGCGAGACGAAGAGGTGGACGCTGCGAGCGAATGGAATCTCCGATTTGCTGGAGGACAGAGAGAGTCAGAAAATCGAATTGGGGAAAAAAAAAAGATAGAGAGAGAGAATCTGACCTGCGTGACGACGGCGACTGAGAGAGGCTGAGAGAAGAGCGGCGGTAGAGAGAGGCGTGACGTGATGGCTGAGAGAGAGGTTTGGAATCGGTGGCGGCTGGCTGAGTATGAAACGAAAGGGGAGGAAGAAACGTAATGGGATGGGAGGGGAGGAAAAAACGAAGAAATAAAAAACCCTAAGTCACTTGAGGCTTTTTTATTTTGTGTAATCCTGTGTGTGCGCTACCTATGGTAGTAGCATACACATCATACATAATTTCAAATATAAATATATATAATATAAAAAATATATATTAATTAACTCTATTGGACCGGTTCGGATTGGACCGGTTCTTTAGGGTGAAAAACCGGAACTGAAATCGGTCTGAACCGGTTCGGTTTGGATTTATTTCGGTTTTTGACTTTTCCAATCAACACGATTTTGTTCGGTTTTTTTCTGATTGGTTTGGTTCAATTTTGCGGTTTTGCGGTTCCAATGCCCACCCCTAAGAAGAAGCTTAGAACTTATACCAAATTAATGAGATTGCTCATAAGATGACCTTTCGGAAGAGAAAAGTGGGATGCAGGTGGATCTATACTGTGAAACTCAAGGCAGATGGATCTATTGAAAGATATAAAGCTAGATTGGTGGCAAATGGATACACACAGAGATATGGGATAGACTACCAAGAAACCTTTGCCCCAATAGCAAAGATCAAAACTATCAGAGTCCTCCTGTCTCTAGCATCAAATCTCAATTGGCCATTACATCAGTTTGATGTAAAGAATGCATTCTTACATGGAGACCTGGAAGAAGAAGTATATATGGACTTACCACCAAGATGTAACTTCACTCATGACAAGGAGAATCAAGTTTGCAAGCTCAAAAAGTCATTGTATGGGTTAAAGCAGTCTCCCAGGGCATGGTTTAGTAGATTCACTAAATCCATGAAGAATTTTGGATATACACAGAGTAATTCGGATCACACTTTGTTCTTGAAGCGTGATGGAAAGAAGCTTATACCTCACTAATTGTTTATGTGGATGACATAGTTGTGACTGGAAACGACACAGGAGAGCAATTAAAACTGCATAAGTATTTGTCTCAGGAATTTGAGATGAAGGATTTAGGTGATCTGAAGTACTTTCTTGGAATTGAAGTAGCAAGGTCCGCAAATGGTATATTTTTGTCACAGAGGAAGTATGTATTGGATCTACTTGCTGAAACAGGATTGCTTGGATGTAAGCTTGCTGACACACCAATCGAGATGAATCACAAGTTGTGTGAAGGTATGATCAAGAACCAACCAATAAGGAACAGTACCAACACCTTGTTGGAAGGTTAATATATTTAGCCCACACAAGACCAGATATTGCATATGCTATGAGTGTGGGTAGTCAGTTTATGCATTCACCCAGTGTGTCTCATAGGAATGCAGTTGATCGAATCTTAAGGTACTTAAAGTTAGCCCCTGGAAAAGGATTAATGTTCTCAAAAAATAGAGATCTTGAAGTTGTGGGATATACAGATGCTGATTGGGCTGGATCCATTACTGACAGACGCTCTACTTCAGGCTACTTCACCTTCGGTCACTTGGCGGAGTAAAAAATAAAATGTGGTTTCAAGCCAGAAAAGCCAATGGAGTTGCATTGTGACAACAAGTCAGCTATTGATATCGCCCATAATCCAGTTCAACATAATTGAACCAAACATGTTGAGGTGGATAGACATTTTATCAAAGAAAAAATTGAGAAGAAGATCATCCGCCTACCATTCGTAAAATCAGAAGATCAATTAGCTGATATCTTAACCAAAGCTGTTTGTAGCAGAGTGTTTTATGACTCACTTACCAAGTTGGGCATTGGTGACGTATATGCACCAACTTGAGGAGGAGTGTTGACGTGAGTCTCCTAATTAATCAAGGAGAATTATTTCCTTGATTAATTAAGGGATTTACTTTCCCATTCCATTTAGTTGACAAATCTGTGTATAATTAGGAGATACTTTCCTAATTCCTGATTGAATCTCTTTCCTTGTAAAGCACTCTGTAAACTCATACATATACCTCCTTATGAAGAAGAATAAATCATCTGAACATATTCAAACCCGTATTCATATTTTAGCAGTAATATCATTAATCCACTTTGAGCCTAATGAAAAAGTTGCTTTGAATGTTAGAAATCCAGTTTTGAAAGTTTTTCTTTAACAAAGATTCGGGGAGAATATAGGATTTGTGATTCTAAAAATTCATTGCTATGAAAGTCTAGGGACCAAAATGAAATATTGATCAAAATTTATAAACTATTTGGTGAAATTGTAGTTTACCTTGTATGCGGTGGCAAAACCAAGTCATCACTTGTTTCCCACTCTCCAAATCCTAAATTTTCTCGGGAATCCCCATTTCGAAACTTTCCCACATAATCCCACAATCCAAACAACCAACCAAAACTTGATGGGCAAGAAAAGAAACAAGAAAACCCGCCGCTCAAAGGGCAAACCCAAATCCAAATCCAGAACCTCCCCAACACCACCACCACCCCCAGCCGAATTGTGAAACTGGCTGGACCTTCCCTGGGACGTCACCGCTTCGATACTCTCACGGCTCGGAGTGGTCGAGATTTTGGAAAGCGCACAAATGGTGTGCATGGTTTGGCGCAACATCTGCAAGGTGTTAAAGTATCAACCCCAGCTCAGCTCATTTTGAGGAGCAATCTCTACAATGTTCTAGAAGCAAGTATAAACAACAGGGTAATAATACCACTAGAAATATCTAGAATAATATATATATTTATATATTTATATTTTAATAGTGTGCATTTACTCCATTCTAAGTTTTTATTATCACTTGCTCCGATTCTTCAAAGCCTTCAAGTTATTAAATACATAAGCCAAATACAAAAGTCAAGTCTTCCGCCTATAACTAGTTAAAAATCCTTTTTAATCTAGTTCTTCTAGATTATAGGTCCTAGTCCCCTTCTGGTCTCAGAGCCATAAGAGTTGAAAGAGTTGAGTCTAAGTCTGCTACTCATATCGCCCAAGTGGCTGATTTAAGTCTTCTGAGTTAGCAAGTCTCCCAAGTTATTTCTAGAGTTAGTAAGTCGCCCAGGTTACTTCCAAGTCTCCTCCAAGTTATCTAGTTCCTTAGGTTCCCCTCTCTCAAAAGCCCGTAAGGTGAGACCTTTTTACCAAACAGTAAGTCCCGGGTAGAGGCATGAGCGGTTAGGCACGAGAAGGTGAGAGAGAGAGACAACCCATAGGTTCTTAGGTATCTTAGAGCCAGTCTTAGGAGTTACCCAAGAGTCTTTCTAATTTAGAAGTCATGTAAGAGTCTTTCTAATTAAGTTGATTTAAATTAAACATGTAAGCAAAATGAGTCGTTTATTTAGAACCAATTCAATTAATTCTTCTAGTTCTAGAACCAGTTTAAGCCAAGTGCCAGACATAATTAATGAAGAACAATTAGAATTTGAGTCTTCTAGTTCAGAATTACATTGTAATGATTGGAATATTCCCAAAGTCTCTAGCAAAGAAATTTATAAGCAAAAATGGTCAATCAATGCATTCAAGACTACTACGCATGTTAAAACAGTAGAACAAGTCTATGCCTTAGGAAAAGAACATGAAACATGTCAGTTACTTAATTTAGATGCAATAAAGAAGCATAGGAAAGAAGGCAATAATTTCCTGCATATAGGATTAGTTCAAGTCGCAGTTAAACCCTTAACTAAGTTAGGTCTTAAAGCCGCAATTTTATTAAGTTTAAGAGATGATAGTAATCAAGCCTTTTGGAAAGAAAAATTTATTAATGGTCTTCCTAATTTATTTGCGCATAAGATTAGAACAGTCTTAAGCAATGAGTCAGGCACAATTAATTACGATGAGTTAACCTACGGTAATATAATTAGTACAATTAATCAAGTCGGTATGAAAATGTGTGTAGATTTAAAAATAGGTAAATCAATCCAAGCCGATAGTAAAAATGCCAAGTATGAATTAGGTAATTTCTGCGAACAGTATGGTCTAGCACCGGTCCCGCCGTCTAGACAAGTCAAAAGAAGCCATGATAGATGCTTTAGTAAAAGACGTCATTATTCCCGCAAAAGAGATTCCTTCAGAGATAATGATGAATTTTACAGTAAAAGAAAGTTTACCCCTAGAAAAAGCAAATGGTCAAAAGGTTATTCAAAAGGTTTTAAGAAAAGCCCCGACAAGGTAAAAAGAACTACTTTAGGAAAAGCACAGATAAAAGCAAAGTTAGATGTTACAAATGCAAAAAGCAAGGTCATTATGCTAATGAATGCAAAGTTAAAGACACAATTAAGCAATTAAAGTTAGCATCTGAAGATGAAGCCAAATTAATTAAAGTCCTTGAGTTAGCCAACACCAAGTCAGACCCTATGCTTTCAGATAGTTCACGTGGTTACAGTTCCGATAACTCCCAATCTAGTGAGCCAGAAGTCCAATTAGGTTGCAAAGATAAGTGTTGTAGAATTTTAAATAAATCAATTTGTGTCCTAACTAAGCAAGAAGAACGAGGAAGAGTTATTAATTGAGTTATTTAGTAAAGTCCAGGATCCCGAGATAAAATCTGAGTACCTTAGAAAACTTAGAAAAATCATAAGCCAGGAAGAATTTAATTCTCCCACGCCTCCTAAGATAAGTCTTAATACCACTTTAGAAAGATTTAATAAAAAGAAAGAAGTCACCCTTCAGGATCTCCAGTTAGAAGTTAAAACAGTTAAAAAGAAAATTACCGAGTTAAAACAAATTAGTCAAAAATTACAAACTGAGAATTATGAAATTAAGCAGGATTTAATTAAATTAATGGAATCAAAAGCAGAGTCTAGTAATCCCTTTGGAAAGTCTAGTTTTGAGTCCGAACCTGAGTCGTCCGATAAAGAAGAAAAAGTTATTAATTTAATTAAGCAAGTTAATTATAGGAAATGGTTGTCTGCCGCGCAAATCTCACGGCCTGGGTTTCCGGGCCGAGGGGATGTGCATTGACACGCGGTTTCCGGGCCGAGGGGATGTGCGGTTGTGCGCGGGCGTGCCAGCACGGTCTACCGTGCGTCGATGAATTGATGAGTGTTGGATGGTTGAGTGGTGCGCCTGTTTGAACTCGTCCTCTAATCAGACGATTGTAGCCGAGAGAGGAAATAGTCTCGGCTGTTAGGTTCACGGCCTGAACTACAAGGCCATTG